AGGAGCGGAAGAAAAGATTGAGAGCGGTGGAGGCATCAACGAAGTGGTAAGGGAAAAGGGGAATGGTGGGAGACTATCGGATATGTTTGAAGGGTGGTTGGTGGCTGGTTTGGAGTTTTGGATAGTAGGCTGATAGGGAAAGCTGCAGGGAAGGGTGATGGCGAGGTGAGCCGGACAGCAAGGAGAACTATTGTAGGGGGCCCGGCAGGCTACAAGGGGTGGTTGGGAGGGTTGGACAGGAAGGCTAGCAGCAGGTTGGAGGGGAATAGGGTGTTGATAGGCGGATTGGAAAGGTTGAACAACAAGGCAGTGGCAGAAAATGGGCTAAGGGAAGGGGAATGGTCGACGACTATTGATAGGGAAGGAGTATGGGTAGTGAAGTGGATAGAGAAATATACATCGCCACCTCGGACTAGGATACAACCGTAGTACCACCACCTCCTCAGATACAACCCTAGAACAGAAAGAACAGTTCTGCAATGGAATATGAAAACAACACAACAAGAAAACTAACCCTGACAAGCAAAACAACACATATATAATAGTTGATAGATAAAGTAAGAATGAAAGATATTCCCCTTTGGGCGGCCACCAGAAAGGAAAGGAGGAAGAAGCCATAACAGGGAAATAATGGAGGGGTGGAAAGGAAAATAGCGAAAGGAGGCGCAAGCTGCAAATCCTGCATGTAGAAGGTTGACCAATCCAGCAGAAGGCTGGACTGGATCCTCTCTCGGCCAGTTCGTGACCCGCTCGCATCCTGCTCGCCTCTCGCATCCCGCTCGCCTCTCGCATCCCGCTCGCCTCTCGCATCCCGCTCGCCTCTCGCATCCCGCTCGCCTCTCGCATCCCGCTCGCCTCTCGCATCCCGCTCGCCTCTCGCATCCCGTACGCATCCCAGCTTCACGTCATTTTGTCATTTCATTGATTAGGTAAACGGTGCTTCAATGTTGCCCCGAGGCATCACAATTGGCTTCTAGTTCAACTCCATGAGTCACCTGTGAAGAAATCACATACCCTGACTTGGAACATGTCTAACTTCAATGAGCTTCCTGGCTGCTCTATTTAAAAACTTAGTATCAACATTACTCTTTCGTATAATATTGCAGGTTTTGCTATCTCACAAATATATCTTTCCTAGATCATTATGAGTGTAGTTCTTAAAGACCTATTTGTTGGGACATGCAGAAAAAGTGGCAGCTGAATCTACTATTCAAGATTCAATATTAACTTGGGATAAAACCAGGGAATCACCTTGGATTTCACTTGTGAAGACATTTATAGAGAGATTTCTGTCTTGGCCTCTATCACTAGTTTTGTAGGCCTTATTTAAATGAGATTTCTTTCCATAGTTTCAACATTCACCTTTGTCATTTTATTTTCCTAACCTGGAATTTCCTCTTCTGGACTTAAATTTGTCTATGCCTGTATTTTTGTCCAAATTTTTTTTCCGTTCTCAACTTTTAACGTAGAACTTAAACATTTAAGGCTCGTTGCATTCTTGTGAATCTCTTCATTCAGCATTAGCCTCACGATGTAATCAAAGTTTAACTTCATATTACCTGAAGAGTTGCTTATAGTTCTGGCTAGTCCACCACTGCTATCTGACATTAAAGATAGAATTGACAGTGCCCTGACATCATCATCAAATTTGATGCCAACAAAATACAATCGGTTTGTCACAGTGTTGAAATTAGCCAAATGTTCAGTCATTGAACTCCATTTCATCATCTTTATGTTGAATAATCTCTTCATCAGAAAAATTTGTTACGTGGGTGCTAAGCCTAAGGGAAAATTTGTCTTTTGTATGCCTAAGGTAAATTTAGTCATTTATTTTTATGATTGTTTGGTATAAATAGTCTTGTTATGTTTAGGGTTAAATTTTTGCAAGAGATTGAGTTGTGAGTCTTAGGTTTAGGTCTTGGGAGAGATTTGCTACATTTCGAATTGTAGGAATTAAGAGAGATCGCCTACCTCTCGAATTGTTGGTGTTTATCTTATGTATATATGTGAGTTGATTGGATTATTGAAGAAAATTATCTTGTTTACCCTAACTTCTGTAAAAATTCAATTTCTTTTTCGATGTCAGATCGTATTGGTATCAGAGCAACAGTTCTGGGAATAAGTGCTTAGAATCGTCATACTGTTGCAATTTAAGCTTGTAGGGAAGGCAACAACGGGCTCGCAGCTCGCTGAAGAAGGCAATGAAGGGATTGCGACTTACATAAGACAATAGATCGTGACGTGGGGAAGAATCGCGACATAACTAGGATAGGAACTCACCTCCTTCCGCTCCATACTAGTGCAAAGCAGTTGCGACTATGACTACATAATCGCAGCTTATAGCGACCAGCCACAACTTTTCTCCCCTCAATCATAGCTTGTGGGGAAGGCAACGAAGGAATCATGTCTTCTTCTGTGAAGATCAACAACATCAACGAAATCGCGGTGTATAAAGATCCTCAATTCACGTTCTCTCCTGTTTTAGCGCCTTCTACTTGATAGGATTGCGATCAGACATGGTCTGGGAAGGCAACGATTGGGAAGCAGTGAACAAAGACCAAACACTCCCATTCCTCTCCTCCTCTCGTGCCTTCTACGCGATCCAGTCTCGATCAGAGCTAGCTAGGGAATGTATAAGTATGGAATGGCTACAAAGATCCGAAACTCCCATTCTTCTCTTCCTTACGTGTCGTGTACATGTTATATCATGACCAAAACTATTTGGGAAGGCAGAAATGGGGAGGCAGCTTATTGAGACCCAAAAATTGCAATTTTCCTTTCCTCACATGCGATACAATCGCGATCTGTAGTGCCCCATGTAACTTGGAAGCATCGACGTTTACCATGAGAGCTACGTGGAAGCTGTTGATTAGATTTCATCATTCAGTAGTTTCTCTTGCATGATATAAAATATTTCTAGTAGAAACGACGACCAAGAAAATAGAGGCGTGGGAGAAGAAGTCAGAGGAAGAGACGAGTCAAATCAGAACTTGGATGGAAGAAATGTTCGCCATAAAGGAGGATAGTTTTCGTCCATAGAAAGGCAAATGGAGGATGAAATGGAGGATGGATTCAAATGGAGGATGGATTTGAGAGCATAGGAGAAATACGAGAGATGATGAAAAGCTCATAGAAATGCAGTCCAATGCCATCCCGATCGCTCTAGTTGCAAACCCTAACCAATGGTTGATCATGCAATCCTTGGCCAGGTCAAAAGGGAAGGAGATCGAACGAGAAGACAATGAGGAAGACATCATTTACCAAGAAGAGCACCCCTTTAGGACTGTGAGAGGAGGGGGAGTAGAGAATTCCGAGGGAGGGGGATGGGCCGAAAATTCGAGGGATGGTGTAAAGGGTATGGAAGAACATGAGGAAGGAGGAAATCGAGAGTTGGGTATGCTTAAGATCGGAGGAGGGAGTTCCACCTTAGATACATGGGGGGAAATACGGGAGGAAGACCAAGTTGGGGTGGAGATATTAGAGTTAAGAAGTTGAAGATACCGATCTTCGAGGGGGAAGATGTGGGTGTATTGAGCGGAGCGATACTTCACGGTGAATTAGTTAGATGGGTAGGAGAAACTCATGGTGGCAAGATTGTGTTTGGAGGGGAAGACCTTAGCCTGGTTTCAGTGGAAGGAGGCTAGATTCCCGATTCGTTTGTTGGATGAATTTAAGGATTGTTTGTTGGAACGTTTCTGAGCCATTCGGGAAGGAGACCTACACGAGCAATTCTATGCCTTAACTCAGGAGGGGATGATCATGGAATTCAAAGAAAGATTTGAACTATTGTCGGGATGGCTTTGGGTGATTTATGACGACAGTGGGGGATTTTTGAAGTAGGAATGGAGGGAAATTTCATGAAGGGTTTAAAACCCGATATACTTGCAACACTCCAACTACTAAGACTGCAGGGATTAAGGGAGATGATGGAGCTAGCCTAGATGTTGGAAGACAAGAACCAGATGATGAAAACCAATAGGAACAACAAAGTTGGAGTGTCGTACGGAACTACTGCAACCACGACGATGCCAAAAGTTCTGACAGTGTAAGTCGAGAGGGAGGCTGCAGCGGACACGAATAATGGAACCCGACGGGTAGCAACATTCAAGCATCTTACAGAGACAGAGATTCAGGATAAGTGAGCCAAGGGGATGTTTTTTGGGTGTAATGAGAAGTTTATCCCATGACACCATTTGCAAGGATTGATTGATACAAGTTTATAGTGCAGAATGAGGAAGAAGAGAATGAAGAAATAGAGATGGATGTGGGGGAGGAGCACTCTCATATTTTTCCCACCTTGAGGACAAGGTGCCTTTTTGGGTGTTGGGGCGGTGAGTATTGTTACGAGGGTGCTTAGATTAAGAGCAAATTTGTCTTTTGTACGATTAAGGGCAATTTAGTCGTTTATTATTACTATTGTTCGGTATTAATAGTCCTGTTATGTTTAGGGTTAGCTTTATGCATGATAATGAGTTGTGAGTCTTAGGTTTAGGTCTTAGGAGTGATTTCCTACCTCTCGAATTGTAGGTGTTTATTTTTTGTATTTGTGTGAGTTGTTTAGATTATTGAAGAAAATGTTTGTGTTTGCCCTAACTTCTGTAAAAATCGGAGTCGATTTTGAGGTCGTACCGTATCAAAATCTTATTTGAAGTAAAAGGTGGAACATTGATTTTTTGAAACTTGATATCTGTCACTCCTTTTATTTTTCTTTCTAAATGTTCTTGCATGAACAAGTAGCTCTACCACCCTTTCTTTAATTGGTACATTGCATATGATGCAAGGGGTGGGACATCTGAAGTAGTTATCTTTGTGTCAAAAACCTGCTGCACCCTCTTCATCTTAGATTGTCCTTACTCTTATTGGTGGAAAATTAAGTAGTTAACACTAATCATATTTTCGTCTCTTCATAATGATGCGGATACGGCTGTCTGTCTGAATTGAAACATGGCTTTGTTAATTTTCTTTTTTTTTTAAATTATATGTATTTTCAATTGCTTTATGCATATTTTTGTATCAGGCCATATAGATATTCCTCTTTTTTTCCCATGTTAGTGCAGATTTTAAACCCGGAGAGCCAGTAATAGACTGGAATACTAGAAAACGAGTGGCCTTAGGCACAGCTCGTGGACTGGAGTACCTTCATGAGCACTGCAATCCCAAGATTATTCATCGTGATGTAAAAGCTGCTAATGTGTTACTTGATGAAGATTTTGAAGCTGTTGTTGGGGACTTCGGTTTAGCCAAACTGGTGGATGTGAGGAAGACTTCTGTGACAACTCAGGTTCGAGGGACTATGGGCCACATAGCTCCTGAATATCTGTCCACAGGGAAATCATCAGAGAGGACTGATGTTTTTGGTTATGGGATCATGCTGCTTGAACTTGTCACAGGTCAGCGAGCCATAGATTTTTCACGCTTAGAGGGGGAAGATGATGTATTACTCTTGGATCATGTAAGTTCCTTTATCCTCTACCTTTTTAATTTTCTGAAACTTCATTGGTGGTTCTAAGGCTATTTGTTTGCTCATTTTGGTGTCTGTTTTTGCTTCATTTTATTTGTTTTCTTTATTTTACTTGAATTTTTTAGGAAACATTAGCTTAATAGTGAAAATGATGAATTGCCATGTGAAGTGAATGTTTTGTTCTAAATATTCTGGTGGTTTGAGATTTGAAAATTGAATGAGAATTTATATGGATTTGATTAATTTTTTGGTGACGCTAGCGGTGTCAAAACAGGTTTGTGGGTTGGATTCGGGTTTGATCTGAACCTGATTTGCATATTAAATGAATTAGAAAGTCCAACTCAAACTTGACTTGCCTTCAACCTATTGACATGAACCTGGCCTATATAACTCATTTAATATAAGGCACGACGACACCTATCCGGGTCGATTTTAGGTCAATTTAGATCTTAGCAAGTGTCAATTTTGGGTTAATGGGTTTTTTCTGGTTAATTTTTTTTTGGTGGGTAAACCTGAATCTGACTAGAAAGAGTTAATGGGTTATAATTTCTAACTCAAACCCGACCTGAAAATTACTCGGCCAACACAAACTTAGATTTTTCTTAGTAGAGTTCTGGTCAAGCTGGCATGTTGAGTCAATTATTGACACCGACGTTTCTTAACTGATATAAGGAATAAGGCTAATTATGAAATGCTA